TGGACTTCTCTATGTCAAAAAAAGTCTACTTTTAGAAGCAGAGCATTTTTAGAAGCCTTGAAGGTACCCCCTCCTGTCTCAGGAAGGTGTAGTGAGCACCACCAGACACCTGCATGCGTCTAACCAGTGACCTCATTAGCATTGGTGTTTTCTTATTAGCATTTTGAAAATATTCAACTCATAACATGGATTGTGACATCTTGGTCAGTTTTGTCGGGTCATCGATCAGCCAGAGAATCCTCCATTTACGAAGCAGATCCAGGATAAAGATCTTTCTCTTCCTTTTTATTTTCCTCTTTCTTTTTCCTGCTTGCTTGCTAGCTTTTCTCTCATGTATGAAAAAAGCCCAAAACACTTTCTTGAACTATACTAGAGCAGTGAACACTAATGAGTTTGCTAAGTTTGGGGGAAAACCTCAGGTGCTGATTACTGTAGGTCTGCTTTGGAGAGAAAAATCTTCATCGCTGGTTGCAAAAGTTAGAACTGAAGCTGAAAGCAGATATTCTGGATCTTCTTCTAAATGGCTCTTGTTTTTACCCTTTTTAAAAACCAAATTTGTGCTGGATTTGGGTTCTTGAATCATGACTTTGATTCAAGCATTAATGGCTAGTCTAACAGAGATGCACCAGAAAAGCTAGAATGATACCTGGGCCCCTTCACTGCACATCACCCATTTCATCAGTGGGATTATTTCTTTTGTTTTAATTTGGGTTACTTGTGTATGTGTGTGTGGGAGATTTTTCTGAATTTTGCAAGTATCTGATAGTGGGGTCTAGTTATCATTTTACAGTAGTAAATCTGTGCACTTGCCAACTTTCCTCAATTGGATTCTGCTAAGATGCTTCATATTTTGGCTGGTGCGATATCTCCTACACATTGGTTACTAGCAGAGGTAGTAGCTCAGCCAAAAATGTTAACCCTAGCCTTGGATCTCCCCAGTGCAAATGACTCCATATTGCTCCTAGCATCTTTTGCATTGCCCTGACAGTTTATAGAGAGTTTAACAATATTAACAAACTTTCTGTACCCTGTAGCATTAGCACTGCCCTCATTAGGAAGAAATGGGAAGAACTGGTCCCTGTCCTCTTTCCTGAACTCTCTCTAAATATTTCATAGGCAGGTTTCCTCCTCCTCCTTGTCATTATTTTTTTACATTCAAACATGCTTACTCTTCTTATCTCTCAGAATAACCCAATAGCCATAGAATTTGAGAGACTTCCGCTGACTTCAGTGTGCTTTGGATCAGGACCATGATCAGGACATGTAGGTTTTTGTGAGACTGATTCAGAGGAATTTGGGCACTCCAGTAACACAAAAACAGCTTTATAACCCAGCCTACCTGGTTGGTACAGCTGCTGTAGCTGTGATGCAAAAGCTGGAATTGCCTGAGCATACTGGAAAATCTGGCCCTATGTTCTGGGGAAGGAAAGCAAGCCACTCTAAATTGGTCTTTTCTATGACTCCAGCTGGCACTGGAGAAGTATGACCACATCTGTGACATCACAGGGTAAAGGAATCAAAGTGACTGCAAGCTGCAAAGGCCCAGCTAGTTCAGAACTGAAATGAGCAGTTGTGCCTGCTGTTATAAATTTCAAGCACTGGCTTGTGAGCCTTCAAGAGAATACATGTACTCGCTCCTTACACTCAGAATAGTGGAGGGAAGTCACCGTACTGCCAAAGAGGAGTCTGATCAAACTACAGACATGACAGAGAGACCCTTATGAATGGGCAATTGTCTCTTTGCTCTGTTTTAAGAAAGCTGTGTGCAACAGGCTCCAAGTGCAGAGCCAAAAGCCAAAGGACCCCTTCCTTATGCATCAGCTTCTTACCTAAAAAGTTGGCAAGTACACCTGGAATGTTAACAGGAATGCTGAGACTTTGCAAACTTCACTGAGATGTAAATCATCTGCCTGAGGGTGGGGAAAGTCACAAGCAGCAATTACCTGCATTTAATGCTTGGGCAAGCACTGAAATGTATGTATTATGGTCCTGACTGACTTTGCTTGTTTATGATGTGTTTTTCCAATTATGAAAACATATACGGGTGACATTGGATAATAGGGTTGTATAGTAGGAAATGATATAAACTGAATCCCATGGGTGGAGATGGGAGCAGTTCTGTCACCTGGGCCTGGATCTCTTTTCCATGTAAACAATTACTGTGGCACTCAGGACAGTCATCTTCCTATCACAATACAAAACAAAGTGTTTGACATGCATTTTAGATTTCCCTATGGTTACACAAGAAATGTAAGATCAGTTTGAATGACAAGGTTATTTTTTTTCTTGTATTTTTTTTCAATCTGGATGTCTCCTTTTACTTGAAGAAGCATTGCTGTAAAAACTGAAATCTCCCCTGTGTTCAGGGTGATTAAATTTAGAGTGATCTTAAAGCATAGATTTTAAATTGCCCCAACTTCTATTGTGTTTATGGTGTGCCACTCACCATGGAGCCTTCTGCTCTGGATGCTGGCCATCTCGTGGTCTGTTGCTCCTATGCAAAGTGTGGGTGAGAGTTGCTGTCCCGAAGAGTGACGGGAGAATTCTGACCTGGTAGAATTTGACATCCTCCCTGTGCAAGCACATCATTTTGAAATGATGTAAAAAACCTACACAAAAAGGGATATTAGTTTTTTGCAGTCAAATTTAGTTTCAGCCAGGCCCGTAGTTACCAGGACCCCTTTTTAACTGACAATAAAATAAATAAATAAATAAATATATATATATATATATAGTACTTACATTACAGTAGGACCTACAATCCCAAACCTAGATTGAGGTGATCTGCTCTACCTAATCTACCATTAGATGTAGAGCTGTACATACAAATAGGGCTCATCTACGTGGGGAGGTGAGTGCACAGTGAGATGAATTTAATGTAGCTATTCCCCACTAACTCCCCATACAAATGCTCTTAATACATACCAGATGCAAGTTAGTTTTCTCCTTGAATCAGTTAACTACATAGTGACACTTTAGTAGCTAGTTGTGGTGCTCAGTGCCATTGTGTGCCCTGTCACTGACTGCAAAGTGGCATGGTAGTCTCTTCTGACTTTGTACCTCTCTTGGTGACACCTGGCATAAGGGGAATAGAGTAGAGCCATAGGCCAAGGAAGTGTGACCCAGGATAAAGGTGAAAGGAAAGAGATGTGAGATGCTTTTGCTAGAACAAAATCTGTGCTGTCTTCACAGAGGTAGGTGAGGGCTTTGCCTGAAGTACTGGGGGCTGGGGGGAAGCTTTAATATACTGGCCAAGGTACTGCTAACTTCCAAACATGCAGTAGAGTTTATAGACTTTAAACCTGATGTGTGCAGCCCTGAGGGTGCCTATACACATGCAGCAAAGCTGCTCTGACGTACTGTAATTACAGCACGTCGGAGCAGACTCAGTTAATCGAGTCTGCTGGAGCATGATAATTACTGTGCTCAAGCAGACTCCAGCATCATGTGTATCAATGTCCCCACACTGAAAAATGGCAGCGGGGGCACTTTAACTGAAGCTCATCCAACAAGCTTTAATTAAAGTGCCCCTGCCACCATTTTTAAGCACAGGGACGCTGATATACACATGACGCTCCAGGCCCTTTAATTAGAGTGGCTCTCAGAGCCGCTCTAATTAATGCACCCCCTGCTACTCCCAGAGCATGTGTATAAACATCCTGAGAGACTCTTTTTGCAGACTCTTAGCCCCCTCCTCCTATTCCATAACAGAACTAGCTACAGATGCATGGTCTAACTGCAAGACAAAGCAATGAAGAGTCTGAATAAGTGAGATGCATAAAACACTACAATGAAAGAAATGAAGCTGCTGGACACACAGTCTCCTCCCAGTCCTTCAGAGTTTTTGCATTCAGGAAGCAGGGAGGTGTTAAAGGCATACAACCGTGCAACATGGAAGGGCTCTAACTAGATTGTGTATCACTTCAAAGAACAGGTTTCTTAACTAAGGTCCTGATCCACCTCCCACTGGAATCACTGGAAAAAACTCTTGTAGATTTAAATAGCAGCTGGATCAGACCCTAATAGCATAATTATCAGTCCCTTAGGAAGTCAGCAGCATTATCAATGTTGTGTTACTGCCAGATTGAGTGCTGTCACTGTGGGGCTCCAGAATCTGTTTTACCAACCAGAGACACTCAAAGTTTCTGTAATGTCTTTTAAAGTGTAAATTTGGCATAACTAACCAGTATTTTCAATGAGGATTTTTTTAAACATCAGCACTCCCCCTTCAGGGGTTGTTTAAATAGTCCATTTGTGTTTGTTTTTTAAGAAGTCTTATTTTTTTAAAGGAGAGAACTAACTTTACAACAAATCTGTAAGTCTCCAATTAGCCCTGGATTCCAGTGGTGAGTTGATTTTTCCTCCTGCCCCTGGTTTCTGCTCTGTATCATTAGAGTGAGCCTACTGGGAATGAATCACTTAAATTTTGGATCACATTAGATAATAAACCCTCTGTCTTACACAGCGGTGGAGATAGCAAAGCAATTGCTAGTACTGAAAAAAACTGAAATTCCTCTTTGGGAGTCCTAAGCCTGTAAGGTTTTGAGTTTTTTGAGTACCTTAGCCATCTTTTCTTGCAGTGAGTATTGGAGCATTCTGGATTTTCCTATTTTAAAAAAATCTAACCCCTGTAGCTTTCCCTGTAAGTAGATATTTAGGATAAACACAAGGTTAAGGCTAAAGTAAAAGCATGGATCATTAATATAAGAATAAAACTGTTTGGAAAATTCAGTTTTAAAAATGCCAGCAGAAAACAGCTGTGACATTTTGCATGGAAATATTTGGAGTTTTTTCATTTTTTTTATCCCCTCCCCTTTTTCCAGCTAGCTCTGACACTGGGTGGTGGCAATCTGATAGGATGCCAGATGTGTGTGCGTGCGTATGTGTATGTATATGTGTGCGTGTGTGGTTGTTTTCTTTGCACTTCACTGCACCTTGAGTTTTGCATACCAGTAACCAGACATGCATCTTCTATTATGGGGGCTTCTTTTATTTTCCAGGTCAAGCAAGCTCTGGGCTTAAAAGGCCTATTTCTCAGAAATCCAAAGCAGGCCTCTCTAGACAGTCATGCTGCTGGTCAGCTCCATCGCAAACACTCCTTTAGCAGTCACATCTTACGTCGGACAGCCAGCGCACCCACCAAGAGCCAGAAGAAGAACAAGAAGGGCTTTCCTGAGATTGCTATCGATACCAAAGACAACAGCTCTGAAGGGGCCAGTGAAGACCGTGAACTGGAAGACTCCTCACAGCCTCGCTTTGAGCAAGAGCCGGAAAACACTTCTCCATTGCCGGCTCCCAGAGATGGTGCCAATGGGGAAGTACATGGCAAGGGGTTGAAAGGTAAGGCCCATAATTCTGGTAAAGGTAAAAGTCAAACTCGTGCTCATGGGGGTGCAACTTTCAGTGAGCCCATCAGGAGGTCCAACAGGGTTCGTCTTCAGGAGCACCAGAGCGAGAAACAGAGCGTCTTTGCACGCTGTGCCATCAACGGCTCGGGTAGGATCGGAATGGCAACCAACTGCATGAAATGCATGATTGGTTCCAGTGAGAGCCCTGATCTAGAATGCAAGTGGAGTGACCATACTACCAGGCCTATCACTAAAGATATGCTGCACCACGATCAGTATAGCAGTATAACAGGAGACGAGAGATTAGAACTAAAATATTGGGGTATACAAGATCAACCCAGGCCTCAGTCAGATTTGCAGACTTTCAGCAGCCCTGGAACTGCCGATGATCTACCGAGGAGCACTCAGTCCTTTGTGACCCCAGGGAAGAAAAATGGTGAATCCAAATGTTTCGGGGTAAAAGCTCATCCCCGGCAGAGATGGCAATGCCAGTCTGGTGGCAAGTATGGAAGCACTGTCAACTTGGTCACAGCCAGCAATGGCTCCATATCCTCCAACTCCAGCAGTCAAGAGAGCCTTGGAAGTCCAGAATTGCCCAAGTGCTGCTCTGAGAATTCCCGAAGGCAAGTGGGCACCCTGCAGAGGGAAATGAATGCCTTGTTCGTTCAAAAATTGGAGGAGATTCGAAGTAAATCCCCTATATTCTTTACTGGTAAGACCAGACTTTGTTCACCCCGTCCACCTTAACTCATCTCATTACCTCAGCTTACCCATAGCACCACCCCATAGCAGTGCCTCCATTTTGTTTTGCTATAGTCATTCATTTTTTTTTTTTTAGTGAAAGAAAAACATTTCTGCATAAATGTTTCTATATTTTCTAGCCGTGCCTGGTATAGACTAGTCCTTTGTGTCCTTAGCATACCAGTTCCAGTAGCAAAGCCACCTGTAGCCTGTGGTTGTGGACTGTTTGTTGTATTCATGAATGCAATATGATACTAAGTAAATTTTAAGACCCCAACCAGAGCATTGCGTAGAGTTGAATAGGGAAAATAAGATTGTTACCTACATTGCCTATTCTTATTGTTAGTATTTGTATGGCAGTAGACTTTACAGGCTGCAGAAGGATTGGAGTGGAACCATGCAGTAACTGCAGTAAAGACACTGCACACCTCAGTGCACTTGTCTCAGTATTTTCTACTTCATCTATTTGTTTTTGGGCTCAGTCAAAGAATTGTTTGATGAAATTCTGTAACGTGGGTTATGTGGAAGATCAGACTTGATCAATGGGATGTTCTCTTCTGGCCTTAAAATATATAAACCTGTGAGTCCCTGATGCAAAAATGTATGGATAGGCTTAATGGTAAGCATATGATTTCAGTGCAGTTTGCTCACAGATTTAAAATGAAGCTTGGTTCATGTGTATATGTGGCTGCACTTTTATGCTCTTTTTTATGAGGGGCTGGGATTTGCTTTCATTCTCTCCAAAGGCACCAACAAGCCTAGAAACAGTCATTTTTTAAATGTCTTGACAATCTCACTGCTGTGTGTTTGGATTCTTGATCTCAGAGGGGACGGTATACATTTTAGTAAGAAACCTGACTTTGGGTTGGATTGGGGGGGTTTTCAGCATATTTACCAAGAACTGCTAGATTCTATCAAATCAAATGGGAGGGGATGGGGGAGAGGAGTTGACAAAAATGCAGACTTTGTTTAAATTATTCCATTGTTTCGCTTCAAAGTTATACAGCTGGGCTTTTTAAAGCAGCCTGAGAGAGATAGGACTGTGCAGTACAATTATGAAAACCAGTTAGATGCTTTTGAAAATGTTGCCCCCAACTCTCATTGACCATCCCTGAGAATTGGGTGCCTCATGACTTCAGTCTCCATTGAAAACTGCCAGCAAAAATATAGCAGTATTCTAGATGTGGACCCAATTTACCCATGGAGATTAGGGGTGTTACGGGCCTCAAGTTTATGTTTTTCACTTTTGTACCCATGATCTGTTCTGAACATCTGGATAATTGATCAGCAGCTCCCCTGACTTGAGTTTAAACCACAACTGCCGAACCCTGTGTCTAGATCCTTGGCATTAGGCTTTTCAAAAGCTCCAAGAGATGCGACATATGGAACTGTTTCCCATAGCTTGTGCCAGCTCCCACACCAGCTGCCTAAGTCGCTAAAGAAATATTATGATACGCTCAGAATTTGATTAAATCCATCTGACTTCTCAAGCGTGGAATCTGCAAAATTTTAAAATGGTAAGAAAGCCATTTGGGCTGGGTGATGATGACCTAGTGACAAATGCTGGGTTTACATAAACTGCAGTCATTCTCCATCCGCTTCCTCCTACAGTGCACTTTGCTAAGACTCCAAGGAAGCCAATAATGTTTGGCTAATATAATTGCTCTTCAAAATTGTCATGCTGAGGAAAGGTGCCAGAAAGATGAGAGAGCCTTTATTTTAGTCCTAAATAGGCAAAGAACTTGAAATAGTGATGCAAGCTTCCCCTACTTTACCCCACTAACATGTTTTAATATTAAAGGTGCAGTGTCAGTGAGGAAGGGTACAGATTGTTCTCCATGGCACATTCAGCCCTGGACACGTGCCCACATTGGTATTGATAAGCACCATTGGATCTGTAAGTGGCAGGCTTTGCCTTGTGGATGTTTTCCTTGTAGAATCTGGATTTGGGACATTCTCCCTTACATTCCCAACTCATGGGCATCAAGGGTCCCTTCATGCCCTAGTCCATCCTGAAATCTAAGAAATTGACACCTGTCGCTGGAACACTGGTGTCAGTGGAAATTTTGCTGTTGATTTTAGTGGAAATAGGATTGCAGCTTTAAGACCAGTATTTACTGAGCAGGAAAAGGGTTGGAGCAAGAGGAAATTAAGCTCTGTTGAATGCTGAACAGCTGATAGAGGCACCAGCAAAACTGACTGTTAGCTGAGGTGGGCTAAGTTTTTTGCTTCCATGTACCTAGGCTACCAGACCAGTCCTAGGATTGATTCCTTTCACCAATGCTTTGTGCCCAGAAATGGGATAATTCAGGTGAATGTGAAAAATGCAGAATAGAACACGAGCCTGCCTCCAAGGCTGGCAGCAATTTCTGTGCTTCATACTGACTTATGTTGCTGTGTGTGGGCCCTGTTTCTATGATTTGCCTTTTGTCTCAGTGTCTGTGTGAGCTGTACAGTTTCATGCTGCAGTAATGTCATGTATGCCCCGGAGATAACTAGTGTCTACTGCAAAACTCATTTGTACCCAATTTGTACTGCTGCTTTTTGAACAGTTTCAAAATGGCAAGAGTAAGGTGATAGTTGTAGGGATTTTCCAACTCGTGTTTCACTGCCAGAATTTCCTCAAACAATTACTAATTTTGTTTTTGCTTTCCCACTTGCTTTACACCAAAAGCCCTTGGTTTGAGTCCATTTTATGCAGTCTGTTACGTGCTCTGGTTGGGTGAAAATTCTTAGCATCCTACAAGAAAAAGTGTTAATATTTTTGTCTGCTTCTCTCCCCTCCCACTAAGTTATCCTTTTATCTGCTCCTGCCTTCCCTAAATTAACTGGATTTTTCCTCTGTTCTGTCCTATTATTTCACATGCATACTCTGTCTCTGTAGTTAAGAACTGAAAGGACAAGCAAGTTAAAGGTAATTGTCTACTGAGTGTTGCTGATTCAAGCACTATGTTTGCCTGTGTTCCTTTTTCGTTTCCTGGCATCTTGTAATTTCCCTCTTGCCTGTAATCCTGAGATTGTTGCCTGGACTCTTTGTGCTGCTTTGCTAGCTCTCAAGCATGTTTACACTGTGGTCTGGGGTCAGTTTTTTTGGCATGACTGTTTTGTATCCTAGGATATACAGTATAAAGACTGCAGCCCAAGCATCTGTCTGTTCAGACAACTGGCTCTTGCCGTGCCTATTCAGGAGTGTACTGTCAACCTTATTTTCATGAAGTATGCATTTGTGTGTGATATTTGAAAAATAAATGACACATTTGTTTGGAAAAATAATGTTATACTGGTGAGAGTTAAAAAATGGGTACATTGACTGAAATGTTAAAAAAAAAATCATTTCACTTTTATTCTCCATCACATCAGCTGGTCGAGCAGTGATCTTCCAATTTTGTTTCAGGCTGGCTTGTCTCAGTTTAGAATGATAAAACTATTCAGATGTTCCATGTAGATGGCATTTAGAGATCTGGGTTTGGAGAATGTGTAGGCATCACTAAAAAGGCAGGCACGAATTGCTCTTCTTTGAATATAAAATATGACTGTGAAATAATATGCTACAAATACATGAGTGCTAAGATTGTCAAAGGTGACAAAGAATTTGGAGTGACTCAAATAGGGTGCTCAGTACATTGTGAAAATCCTGGCTATCATTTCCAATAAAAGGCTATTTTCATAGCAAAAACATAGCATAAAAAGATACTCTACAGCTCTAAGTGAATGACCATTGTTGATATCTGATTAATTCCAGTCTCACTGTATATTTTTCTTCTCTCCATCCCTTCCCCTAGATGTCCGCCAATTCTCAATGCAGAGGTCTGTCACCTCCTTATGCAGCTTAGAAATTATTACCGAAGAGCCCATCATTGCCAATGAAAACCAACATACCGGTTCTTGTTTCCCTCTACCTGTTACGCCCCTCAGTGATTCTGAAGAAGAGTCTGTGTCTGATCATTCTGCTGAATCTAGATCAGAAGAAGATGGCCCATCAGACCTGCCTGAGAGAGCTCTTCTTGCTAAAGAACCAAGAGTGGGCTTGGCTGCAGAAGATCAAGTGCTCATAATCCCAGGAGCAGTTGTCACAAATATGTTGGTCCAGGTAGATGAAAGGATATATACAGAAGAACATTTTAGAGATGGTGATAGTTGGAAATGGACATACAGTCGTGCTGAAGATCATCAGTCTAGTTTGGCAGCAAATCCTCAACAAACCTGGGGGGTCTTGGCACCAAGTGATGCTTCAGCCCATTCTGCTGAGCGCTGCCAGGAACAAGAAGACCACATAGATCGATCGCTGACAGGTGTGCACAGCATTGCCAGATCCATGAGCCAGGAGGGTCGTGCCACAGCCGTCGCACCACAACCATGCAACCTGAATAATAACACGCAGCTGACTTTCCCTCCAGATGCTTTCCAGAAACCCCAGGCTGCCCAGGATCTGGCTGCTCCTGTTTCTCAAACAGGCTGTCATATGTTAATAAAGAGATCAAAGAGTGAAGGGCACAAGATTTCAGACCACTCAGCCTTAATGAAAAATCCCAGTAGCCTGTCCCCAGCGGCAGAAGTATACTTTGATGCCACCATAAATGACCAGATCTGGAGCAAGTTAGATTCCAGCAATCATCGGGACAGCATGTCTTCCTCCTCCAGCATGTCCTCCAATGACACTGTGATAGATCTTTCTCTCCCTAACCTAGCTCGCAAAAGCCTTCCAGATCTAGGTGCCCAGCATGACAACTTTGAGCCCATTGCTGTGAGAAAAGGTATGCGTCCACGGTCTGCTACGACTTCCAGTAGTGAAATGCCAATGGTGACCAAGAGCAAATCCAATCCTAATCTGCGGTCTGGTCAACTGCCGGTGGATGAGATATGCCCTCGGCCTTTGGCCAGGGGTCCTCAAGACACATTGTCATCTATTCCTAGGAGGCATACTTGGAACAGGCTCTACATGGAAAGTCTGAAGCAAGCCTCTCTCAAGTCCAAAGACCAGGACAGGGTTGGGACTAGCCAAGCAAAATCCAAGAGCCTTGGAGATCTCACCTCTGATGATATTGCATGCACTTTTGAAAGCAAGTACCGGAGTATCAGCAGGAGCTTTGTCACTAGATCAATGCGGGCTCAGCGCCGCTCCTCAAGCTTGAGGCCTTCAGCCAAGCCCCAGGATGAGCTGACTGAGCAGCTGAAGAAGTTGATGGCCTTTCAACAGGAAAATGACATCACCTCCCCGATCTGTCTTGAGCCCATTGAGTCAGAGGAGGAAGAGGAAGGTCTGGGACTCCTCCGCAGGTCATCCTCTCGCAGTCAGAGCAGAGTGCGGTACATCGCCAACCGGGCCAAGCAAGCTCAGGAGAGGCAGCGGCTGCAAAGCCTGAGCCAGGTCAGCAACAGTCCCATTGAGGAGAGGGGAAACCCAGAGGGAGCTTGCTGCATTGCAAAAGGGGTTTGTACGGACACCACTTCTCCCAGTCTGTTTACATCCCAACCCAAGAACCAAACTGATTTTAACAGTGACACTGAGGTCTTCTTTATGCTGAAACTCTAATGTTGGGAAGTGCTGAACAAAGTTGATGTTTACATTCCTGCCCAAGCAGAACACAGTAAACCAAGAGGTATGAAATGCCCTAACACAGGATGATTCCTCACCCCTATGGAGGTAAAGGAACTGAAGAGATTGAATGGAATGGAATGGAATGGAATGGAATGGGCAGTGACTCAAGTGGATAGCACACAAATTATTGGACATAAAAATTCAAGGAACCAAATGACTTTGGAAGCTTGCACATATAGCTACAATTTTAAGGGCCTGAATTTGGGGAGAGGGGATGTATTTTATTTTAAATGTTATTAAGCCTCCAATCTAATCTCCTTTATGTGACACCCAGTTTGCATCTGCAGTTATCTGCGGCCATGTCTACACGTGCACTTAACTTCAGAGTAGACTAATTAGCTGAGAAGTAAAGCATCACCATCTACACCTGTGATGCTATTAGGCCACAGTAAACTAATTAATGCTGCTGTAAGATGGTACTGTCAAGAACAGTACAGTCAAAGACAGTACTGTCTTACAGCGGGATAATTAACTGCGATAAACACATGTGTAGATGCTGACTGCCGGCGTAAATCAAGCCCAGCCAGCAGGGGGTCAGACTCCTGCCTGCCACCTAGCCACACAGATACGCCCTTTCAGCACTCTTGTGCCCCAGCCAGCCCCTCCACCTCCCAGGGCTGACTTCCCGTACCCCTGGCTGTGGCATAAACTGCTCCACCCTGGCCCAAATTGATGCTGTCCTGGACACACATGTAGATGCTATGCCTTGGAGTAGTTTACTCAGTGCTCAAGCTGCTCAGCAGTTGATTGCTTCAAATTAATTGCACATGTAGATGCATCCAGTGTGTGCAAGTCACTTTGTTTCACACATGTCCCTAATTATTTCTTCCTGCAAGGGAAACATCTAGGTGATGCTAATGGTATCCACAGTTACTTGCTCCTGCAAATGGCAGGTCTGCAAAGGAGGCCTGGCTTTAAAACTTAGTCTCTGATGTGCTTTAAAGTTTTGAAGAGACTGAGGCTTCTAGGGGTGTCTTCTGTACCAGATAGTCTGTGCAGTTGTTTTCTGCATTAAGAATATAGCCAATGGAGCACACCCCATCAATGCTGAACTTGTTCGTTCCAGCAAAAGTCCATATTGCCTCATTCTTTGTTGCGAAGAATAAAAGTCTCACTCTGTTCAGAAACAGTACTTCTTAACCCATCTATCTGTATATGCGAACTGTGACCATTCCTTGTTTCAGAATCTAACATGGGGAGGGAGCTAGCAAATCAGGCAGGAAATATCACTTATTGACTTTGTTCAGCTCAGAAGAGGCTAAATGAATGCTACTCTTTCCTTGAAAAGAGAGCTGCCCCTTTTACATGGTATTTTAACAATGCTGCTGTACATAGCACCTTTGGGATGAATTATACAGTTTCTGTTTTGCACTGCCATGCAAGATTTTCAATGATATGTTTTAAAAAGATATATTTAAATTTTTAGACGAATACATTTAGAATTAAATACCAACCTAAACAAAATCATTTTTCATTTTTTTACCTTTTTATTTTTAGTTTTTATTTTCAGGATTATCATGTCATTTATTATAGATGAACATTTTATTGGTGAGGGAAGAGAATGTTTAATGAGATAAGTTTTAAAAGAAAGCAGAAGTTTTAATTTTATTTTCAGTCTGTCTAGAGTTCTTTATTGGAGGCATTCTGTTTTTTGTTTGTAATGGTTCTTCTCTGTATATTGCAAAATTTTAAAATCTGTGTGTAAAACCATCTGACACTACTCAAATAAAAGTATTTAACCTTTCAACTGCTGCTTCTGGACTACTTAACTGCAATTAAAAAGGAGAAAGTTTCTGGGTTTTGTAGATTTCCTAGAAAGTTGTGTTATGGAAACAGGAATCATGCTCCTATTTTTCACTTCTTCAGCAGATGATTTGTAAGATCATAAGAAGGGATCTCATGAGGCCATCTAATCCAGTGGTTCTCAACCTTTTATGTACCAGGACCCATTTGTAAACATTGATGGCTAGTCTGGACCCAGTGCCCCTCATTCCTGACCCGCTGCCCCAGCATACGGTCCTGGACACCAGAACAGCTGTGGTCATATGTATTGTTCATTGGTAGAAGCCTCTCTATTAACCTGTCAGCAGAAGGTGTGTATGTTCCATGGAACAGGAACATTTTGACTATTTTCTTGGTTGGATAGGGTCCCAGTGCTCGCCAAGCTGCTTATGGGTAGGGAGAACTCAGGGGCTTTCTCAGATGGAGCTTTTAAAATGAAACCCTGTATTTTTTCTTTCTGGTCTAAAAAAGAGATTAAATCACTACCCTCTCCAGCTGAACTCTTAGCACTGCAGGTGGCAATCTGGAGACGAGGTTCTCTGGGTTTGGGGGCACCAGGACTGGTAGCATGCTGATGTGACCTTACAGTTCCTTTACTGTTTCTGAAGGACAGTATAGCTCAGCAAGGCAGATTGCACGATCTGCCAGAACTTGTCCTACACTGTCACCAACACAAAGCTACTTTCATTAACATTCACTAGACACCAAGTTGGGCAGTAACATTATTTATCATCAGACTGAAAAGCTGAAATGTTTTAATGCATAAAACTAGAAACCAATACAGCTTGTCAGCTTAGGAATGTTAATGGTTTATTTTAAGATCCCCTGCTGGGTGACTGTAAGGCAAGGGAGAGGAATTTAAAATGCATATTTAATCTTTTTTAAAAATCCAGTTTCATAATCCTATTCTTTTTCAATTGAGTAAGCAACTTTTTTATTAAATTAATGCATCAAACATAAGCCAAAGCCATGAAGCATTTCAAGGCATTTAACATTTTACACACTTTTGAAAATGTGTGTATTGATTTTGTATTTAACACTCTTTGGTTCATTTGGATTTGGCCCTCTTGTTTAAGTTAAATAATTGCTGGCACCCAAGTGCATCTAGATAACTTGCTTTGTTCCAGCAAACCCAAGGGATTGTGAATGCCATTGAATTAGGAGACATTTAACAAGATGTCCACATGTCTATTGTAATAGAATTCTTTTTTCACAATATCTACGCTGTTTAGTAACAAAGATGTGATAAGCAGTCTTAATGGAAGGGCTGGAGAAATCATCATCCTCCATAAGGTCAGTAATTGAGCAAAGAGCTTGTGAGAAAACATGTTAGAAGGGCTATTCTGCTTGAAAAAGTTCTGCTCCAACAATGGTACTCTGATGAGTAAGTCACTTCCTTCCACCTGAGAAGGAGACTCTGGTATCAGATAAGCACAGGGGGTGATAAATGCAGTGTAGAAACAACCATTGTTTTTTCGTTTCCTGATCTTTATGAGCCTCCTGTTCTAGTCTTGCTTCTGTCATCCCACAGTTGCTCATTTTGCCTCTCATGTGAGTTTTCAGCAGAGGACACAGACTCTTGTTTATAATGCAGTTAGTCAATTAAAAATAATCTTTCCCTCTTCCTTATATTCCATGGCACACGACTGCACTGTAGAGCCAAGCACTCCCTCCCCCTTTTGGTTCTGAGTTTTATGGGATGGGCCCATTAGATCTGGACCATAACTAGGCCTCACATCTCTGTGCTGTGTTTTCATCCCAGTGTTGTAAATGGGGACCTTGAGCAGTGCTCCCTCTGCCTTACCAAGGAAACTGGCAACAAATACAGCATATAGACTCTACAATGCAAAGGGAAGGTGAAGAGTGGGAAGGTTGTAAGAGGAGGTTGGTGGATGTTTGGAGTTTGTCTTAGGATTTCCTATGTTTGTAGGGTCTCTTGTCTCACTCTTGTGATTTCCCCACCACCAGGAACAAGATATTTCATCCCTCTCTAAGTTCAGAAGAAAACAAAATACTTTGCTAGCCATATTCCAGAGATCATGAGAGCCAGGCCTTTGGACCCTGGGTTTTTCATCCTTTATCCTTTTGGTGGGGAGCATTAGATTGAAGCCTTCTGGAAATGTCAAAGTATTGCCTTGAGCAGCCACTTCACATGGATTGCCAGTGGCCTGCTTGGAAACAGCAAACTTTCTGCCTTGCCCCAGTTCTTCCTGTGACAGCTGGCTCCCCTGCACCATCTGTTCTTCAGCTCATTAAATCTCTGATATTAAGAGACCAAAGTTTCCAATTTACAAGCAGTTTACTGCACAGGCTTTGATTTGGGATTTGTAGTCCAAGCCCCCCTAGTAGCTTAGTGCTTGGGAAATGCACAGGGTGAGTATTTGATTTTATCTTTTAAAAATGGCTCAGCCAAAGCCCACACATACTCATCTGCCTCTGGTCAGGCTTAATTGCTGATTATCTTCATTAGCTGCCAGCTGTGAAAAATCATATACATAATTTTTATCTTATTATAGCCCAGAAAATATTCACAGGAACCAGCATGAAACCCTAGTTGATGAGGCTCCTGCTATTTGCCCCTCAGGAGCCAGGCTATATCTCTAGGGCAGAGACCACGCACAGATATGAAAAGTAAGTGGGGCTAGAGCCCCAGCACCCACTGCAGAAAGGGCATTTAGCTGCCAACAGTTGGACCCAGTGAGAAAATCTGTAGAAAGATCCGTGAGTGGTGAGCATTCCCAGTTTCTTGGCCTTTCCTTTTCAGAGAAAGCAATGAGAAGGCATGTGTGCATCTATTTTCGCTTCCCTTCCCTTCACCCACTGTGATCTTTTGTCCTGAGTTGTATGATTTCTCTAATGAGAACCTGATCCAAACAATATCAGAGGTAATAGAAATATTCCCATTAACATCAGTGAGCTCTGGATGAGGTCCCTGGGTTAGATGCTCTAACAGCAAGCTCACTGGCAGATGCTGTTACATAAACCCAGCACACCTTTCCAAGTTCTTTTTCTGAGTGTGCACTCCAATTTTGATATTTGGACAGACATGCTGTGTTGATGCTCAGTTTGGGACCATGCAGAGGTAGGTTTGGTTGCAGTTTGGAGGAGATGGGACAGTACCAGCAGAAGAGCTTTTTGTTTGCATTGAGCTCCGCTTAGAGTCAATCTGGAGGCCATTCTTGAAGCATGTGTCCTCCCTGGGAGCTGGGTACCAGTGTTGGACTGACCTTACTTGTAGAAGAGGCTGCCATGTTCTGCTCTGACATCTCATTTCAGGACTGGGGTGTGTATGTGGGGAAATAGAACAAGTTACACTACAGACTTCTCCCTGCATAAAGCACTGGAGAGCTGCTACTGCTCGTCGTGC